GTACTTCGGAAGTACAGAAGTCCGCTTGTTCCCCCTTGCACAATGGTCTGATGCTTGGGTTTGCATAATAAAATTTTATAGGCTTCTGAAGTAAATGGACAGCTTAAAAATCTAATATTTTTCCGCAGTCGGCCTGGTCGGCGTTCTACCGGACTCTTCTGTTAAAAAAGTCCTTTCACTGATGAAAATACATCTACAATAACATATGGACTCTTTTACTTAATGCTTCAGTTTGCAGATATTTTACTCGACAAAGAAGCGTTATCCTTTGCTTTCATTCCTCCACTTTGAGAGTGTGAGCAAGGAAACAATAAGCATTCTGTTGCAAATCTTGCGCTGCACAAATACTCTTTCGATGAATTAAGGAAACAAAAGAAATAAAAAAAAACCTTGAATTAGAAGAGTGTGGGTGTCGGTCTGGATGGTGCATGTGTCGGTCTTGGTAAACAGAAGAACAACACCCACATCCTAATCACGTGAAAGGTTAATATGAAAAGATTCTTCGTTCGATTCTTTCTTATCCTCTATAGCATATTTTAAGCCATTGAGAGCAGCAATATTTTATCACAGTGACTTTGCAACATAGCCAAGGTCTGAATAAGAAAAAGTGTTTAATTCAATGAAAAAAGTTACTCTCCAGTTTTTTATGCGACATCTAAATTCAAATTTACCAAAGCAAGCCAAAAGTATTTCATTTCATGAACTGTTGGGAAATTTCATGATAAATTTAAATTTTTCATTAGGAAAAACTTATTCGATTTTAAAATATTGTACGCAAAGTTACAAAGAAAAACAATAGAAAATTTTTTAATATAAAACTTTTATTTGATTAATGTAAATTAAGAAAGTTATTTGCAGTCTTTTAGTAAGATACATTTTCACTGGGAAATTCAGTATGACGTTGATCATACATCATAAAACTTTGATTCTAGATTGAAAATTTTCAAATGGCTTCTGGAAATGGTGCTCTCCGCTTTGCTGATTTTGGTGCATTATCAAAAAGAATGCTGGCACCGATCGAAGGTTACGAAAAGATGTCAGTGGTAACGCTCGAAGAAGCTGTGGAGCCTCTCGTCGAAATCGTGCCGAAAGTCAAACGAAATGTAAAGGTAGTCAAGGAAAATTGTCAAGAGCCCGCAGATGGCTTAACAACTAACGAATCGGCTTCAATTATGCTGTACACCTATGAGTCGATGCCGTATGAAGATTCGTTATATGTTAAACTCAACGAAACTTTACGCTCGGAACAACGAAAAAAATTAATTCCATGGTTTCTTTATCTTCGGCTCATACTGACGGCGCTTGCTCGTCTTCCATCAAAGCGCCGTTTCATTTTTCGAGGAGTTCGAGAAAACTTGTGGGCTGACTATCCGGAAGGCAAAACTTTTATTTGGTGGGGATTTTCATCGTGTACTTCATCAGTCGGAGTGTTGGAGAACGAGCAGTTTTTTGGCAAAACTGGAAACAGAACTCTATTTCAAATAGACTGTACAACAGCAAAAGACATAAAAAAACATTCATTTATAGCCGGAGAAGACGAAGTACTTTTATTACCCGCCAGAAAACTTCAAGTCAAATCTTGTCTTGATTCTGGCAATGGACTTCATATTGTACAACTCGAAGAATTGAAGCCAGAGTACGATCTTCTTGAACCAGTTCCAGTACCAGTGCCAGTTGTTAAATCCAAAGATAAAACTCAAGAGAAATCTCAACCAATAGCAGCAGCAACGACGATTGCGGCCAAACCTAGTGCTGGAGCCATGGAAAAACATTTTTCAACAATGCAACTCGACATGAATACAAAGCCACGAGGTCAGTAATAATTAATTATGATTCAACTGCAAATATGCGAATAGATGTGTGAAGGATGTGAGGATACTCAGAGGAATAATTTGTGTTTAAAATCGAGTTTGAACTCGTATAGACATGTTTATCAATGAAATACTCACTCTTAACTTACTTTTTGCACTAAGTATAAATTGGTAATCATTGGTACTAGCAGTCATTTATGAAATAGTTCAAGGCTTACCACTTAGTCTTAATGTACAGAAAATTTCAAAAACGAAGTTGTATGATACTAGGAATAAATTAAAATTAATTCAAGCTATTGTGATCAATAGCAATAGCTTATAGGACATCGCATATTGAATACTTTTAAGATTTAATAATTCTTAAGTGTTATTATCTATATTGATTGGTTCAATGAATATGAAAGCAATTTCTTGTCTAACATCATATCACCATTTGTTCATATATCATATTGTTTATTTATTATAAAATTGAAAAAGTAAGAGTTCAATAAATTAGTTCTTTTTTGGTTCCACTAGTATACCACATTATGTTTTCTCTCCCTTAGTTATGAATATAGAGACATAGAGTTCATCATATGTTTACGTGTAAAAAGAATTTTTCTTTGATTCTGTCACCTGCTTCTATACATCACACGACTTATGCAAAACGCTAAGCACACTTAAGAAGTTTCGAGCCTATACTATTCTACAAATCGTTAATAAATTCTGCCATCGTAATTAATATAATATATATAAGGAAATTTTGTTTTCAGCTATTGCAGTTTTAAATAAAAAAGCTTGTCACATTACGATTCTATCACGTAAAAAATACAAAAATATTAGGCTTTTTCATTGAAAACTTCCAGCTGCATCAGAAAAAACCTAGAAAGCCTCACTAAATGTACATAGGATAGTATATTAACGAAAAAAGCCAATCCTATTGTACTAATAACTTCAAATTACAGTCAGTTAGAATTCAAATATTTATTCATATATACCGAGTGTCACAAACATTTTTTGTTCCTGCATATATCTCAATTAATACAGTAGAATAAAACCTTGAATTTAATTTTGAATGATGTGCAATTCAATTCTATACAAACTTCTATTTATCTTAATTTAAAATAGTAGGCATGAATGTTTTTATGGATTAGTCATGTGATTATATGAATTGCATCTTGTTCCTACACATTCTTTTACTAAATTATTTTTTCTATACGAATGAATATTTTGATTTTAGACATAACATACTGTCAGATAGTTCTTGAAAGTTTCGGTCGATTGTTTATATGTTTAGCATCCATTCTTTCCATTGAACAGAATTTTCCGCAAAGCACTATGTGAGAAATCACGAAACTCTCTCTCTTGCAATGATCCCTGTTCAGGAAAAATCTCCTAAAAATTTGACCTCTGCCCTAGCCGACTTCACTTTTGAGTATTTTGTAGAAATCAGAGTTCTCTTTCTACTTGAAACTCAAAAAACATATGATAAAGCAATTCAATTGGGAGAAGAATTTGAATATTGTTAAGAATGCTATTTTTCAGTAGCCTATGAGACAGACCATTTTTATTAGGTTCAAATAGATTTTAATCGAACGCAAACAAATTATTCTTTCTCAAGCTTCTGTTTACAATAGGAGAAAGTCAGAAAAAGTATAGTAAAAAACCGTGTGGGAAGTAAATGTAATTCATATAATCACCCTATTTGACCGATAAAAGCATTTAATTTTATTATTATAAATTAACGTAAGTACACTTTTGTAGAGGATTTAATCGTAAATCTTCCAAAATTAAACTCAAGATTTTATCTTTTGTACTAAGATATATTCAAAACACAAGATGTTGAAAACCTTGTGTGACGCCTGTCATTGTTTTTTAAGAGAATATATTGCGAATTTATATCATCAGTTCAGTATTGTGTATAGATGATTCCTACTCGGTGATTGGTCTATTCAAGATTGACACTGATCATTTTAGATCCAGTCTTCCAATGATGCTCTTGCTGTTTTGCCTCCTGCACATATTAAGTTGGATTCGATTTTTCTAACAGCGTACTTGTCTAAGTAACCTGTTCACGCTTTACGTTCTGCCTCGACTAAGAATCTTTATACGATTCAGTTTTTTTCAAAGAAAATAGTTCTATATCGAAGACAGTGTCTGATATTCAATGTATCGGTTAGTAAACAGACGTAATCTTTTTCTTGAAGTATATCAGCATCATAATCAGACATATTCAAATATTACAATAACGATGTTTCTCTTTCGTTGTCTTTTTGTCAAAGCATTTGATAGGAAAATTTTATTAAGAGTATTTTTATCAAATAAAACTAATGGAAATAGCTAAGTTTTCTATGAAATGTAAGAGAAAGTTATGTCATCGTAGAAGGCAAGTGAAAATGTTCAAACTTTGAAAATAAAATGCTCAGATAAAAATCGATTCATTTAATAATCTCATGTACCAATTATTTCAAATACGTATGACATTTGAGGCAATAGAGTAATCTAACATTTGAGAAACAAAAGTATAATTCATGTTGCAATGTTTTATTGTCGACGCCAGCATTAAGTAGGAGCGAATGTAAGATGAATATCTCGGCAACCACAACAGCTAGCGATCTAGGGCTTTCAGGGATCGAAAGAGGCAGAGTCGAGACGTGTTTTGATATAGTTTTTTGCAAGATGAGATTGTTGCCACACCAATCATTTTTGTAAATCTTTACGAAAAATGTTTAATAAGTTAGTGCAATGAAGTTCCAATCAACTTTTGATTTTGACATGCATATTAGATAGAGTAACTTCAGATCTATAGTTCAAGACATAATGCAAATGATTATCTTCTCACATTCCTAGTGTTGAGCAAATGGAGGCTATTTCCATGGTACTTGTGACACGAAATACACAACATTCACCAAATCGTTTGAAACTTTCAGAGCTTGTGTAATAGTCACTTCTAAGACTTTTTTGCTCTTGGACAAAATTTATATGACGTCTTGTTCAAGAGCTGTAGCCAAAATACCAAATACCCTCCGGAACGGTTTTTTAAAGTATCTTATTCTTTGTAACACTGCTAGTTTTGCACTACTTTGTGCTATCGAAATTCTGATGATAGATTTGGATTCCTTATCATCAGGGCTATCAGAATCACTATTTTTAAAAAATTTGTGGACTCATCTCTGAACGAAGAGTCTCTGGAAACCCTTTTCAATAGCCGAGTATTCCAGGAGCAAAAACTCCAT